AGTCAGTCGTATAAATTTTCAACAACAGGCAAATTACATGCTCCTACGTCATCATCCTCTTCTGGAATTCGGGGAAAATATCCAAACAATTCCCGCGCCCTTTCGCTACCTTGTTACGTCCTCCTTCTGTACCGCGGCTCAGGGGATGTGTACGAACTCCTCTCCTACTCACCGATCATTAACGCAATTTAGCCGCTCGTGTTGAATATGTATACCTAACATGGTCATACGTCGAGGCTGAGTTCCCCGGATGTGGGTGGTATAATAACAGTGGAGCGACAGTCAGGCGCACGTGTGTCTGGCGTGCAGGAGAGTAATGTTGTAACCGCAGCAAAGTACTTACACCTCCACCCCACCTATCCCCTCCTTTGCTCTACCAGGTGAAATAAGCTGGGGGTGGCCAATCTTCACGTGGTCCGATGTCTACACTATTTACTAAAAGTACTGAACTGTTACGATTATTTTATGCTGTTCTTTATGTTTCTTGAAATTTAAGTCAAGAAGAAGTCAGCGTGTCTGGGTTACTCTGCTGCCATAGTTGTTTTAAAAGATGTTTGTGTTTGACATCATTCACTACTACAGAGTTTTATGTCATAGTTTTTTAATTATTGATGTAAGACCTTAGTTGTTGAAGCGCAGTAATAACATGAAAGAACAACGACATTATTTCAGAGCGTCTGTTTGTGGTGTTGACCAGTGACGTCAAAAAATACGAATCACCATCTGCATTGCTTTCTGTGTATGCTGAGGCGGTCTGAGTGATACACACACACACACACACACACACACACACACACACACACACACACACAAGCCCTACCAAGTCATGTGTGAACTTATGTGCCATTTATGTCTCAGGAAACAATCACGTAAGAATAAGAGCTGAGAAGTTGTCTCAATTTACTAAGAGAGAATTTTTTTCCCTCTGCTCTTGTTATTGTTTTTCAGACCCAAACTTGTTCCTGCTGTACGACAAATTAGATCCGGCAACTCTCGCTCCTCGCAACCCGAAGGTGAGGATGGAGCTGGTGGGAAGTTGTCTTACCTTTTAACCTTCCTTAAATGTTCCTCCTCTTATTTGGGTTACTCACCTTACAGTTGGGAGGGGGAGGGGGGGGCACCATTCTACAAGAGGTTGACAACAGAAAGGCCTCACCACGCGGGAACAGTGTAGTGTTTAACGAAGCGATTTTGTGAATATAGTTGTAATATAGTGTTAATCTTTACAATAGCTAGTGACGAGAGGCTGCAGGTACGATATACAGTCTTGTGGTGCTGTTTAACATTTTGTGGATATCAATCAAATGTTTAAAGTTTACTCATAAATTAGATGGAGATCCTAAGCACGGTTTGGAAATGAATCTCATTAATTTAGTTTTGAGGTGAATGCGTGTCATCGTGTACCAGAGGTAACCTCAGGCACACTCACGTTTTCTGTCAGACATTGTCGGGTGAACTCAAGTACCTAATCTTGACTAACCATTAGATTGGGGCCCAACCAGGATTGAGACCTACTAAGATTGGGCCCCACCAGTCCTGGGCCCCAATCTTAATGGGTAAGTTGGTGGTGTATGAGGATTGGGGGTTCATCTGACGAGTCACGGTAACATTTCCGCTGGTCATGGAGGACGATGAACTGTAAGACTGCAGCTCACACAGCCTACCCGATGAGGAACAGTCCACCACCCACTGTCACATCACTCCAGGTGGTTTGTTGATAGTCACGATCCTGATAGGAAAATAATTTCAATAACTACAAATATAGGAATATATCACAATTATGTCAGCCATGTCAATATTGTTATTATTATCCACCCTGTATCTATATTTTTTTGGCTAAATAAACTGTTTCAATATCAATAACAACTCATATTTATTAGGTAACCGTCTAATGTCGTAATGCACCACATACGCAACACAACACCTGCTCCTACACCCGCACCAACACCTGCTTCTACTGTACACCTGTCAGGGAATAACTAATCTCCTCTGCAAGACCTGTAACTTGACCCGATTTTCCTTACTAACTTTGAGGATTTGGTTAAGTTAGCTTATGGTAGGAGAAGGTTGGATGGTGGTTAGATTAGGTTCGATAATTTTAATATAAAGGCAGGGTTAGGGCAGGGTTAGGTTAGGTTAGGTTAGGTTAGGTTAGCGGTAAGATGAATTAAGCTGCATGGGGGCTAATTTTCAGGTGAGGCAGAAAATTAATCAATATACATTTACAGGATTTTTTTTATCAATTATGATGTATAGAAGACAAAGATTTATTTCACCTTTACAACACAACTCCCATCAAGGTGTGTTTTCCATCTGGCCGCAGGTTACACACACACACACACACACACACACACACACACACACACACACACACACACACAAACACACGTCTACCTTTATTCCCGTGTGCTTATCTGTCTCCTCCGTTATCTCTCATTATATACCAAAATTTCCAGTTATGAATCAGTCAGCCAGAAGTGTTCCCCAAAGTCCCGCTGGTTTAATTATCTGTGTTGATGGGTGACGAGATAAACGCTTGGACTCACTAACCCAAATTGCGTGTGTGTGTGTGTGTGTGTATGGGTTTGGTGGCGTGGTGGTGGACCGCTGCAGCTACTTACCCTTCTCCTCACGCTCATTCTAGATATATGCACATCACGTCGCTTGTGCTGCTCAGTCATTTTCACACCACCACACATTTCTCTCACGACCAGTTTAAGAGTTCACCAGGGTAGTTCTCAGGAGCTTTATCTTACACCCGTGGCTGCCAGCGTGGGTAAGTCTTTATGTCCATCTTGAGATAATAACAATTATAAATGTAATATACGCTACAGGTTACTTTAGCCACAAGTCCAATTCTCACAAGATATCTGCTCTACAGTCGTGACCGGATTAGAGCATAGAATTCCTCTACCTGAAGTACAGTAACACACACACTTGGTTCCTACCTATTTGTTATGGTCAATCCAACAACAATTAATATCCTAGATGGCGTTACCTTCACACACACATACACACTGTTATCACTCCACACTCATGTCACTTAGAACCAAATTTTGATCGGTTTTCTGCTCAGCACTGATGTGAAGTAGTCAGGTAATGTTCTTTTATCTCAGCGTTGATGACCTGTAGTCTGGAGAATATAAAGAATTATACTGAATGAAAGAATATCAGACGCACATTAATTATTATCACAAGACGCTGATCACTAAAATAATGAAGATATGGTTGATGGGAGTCAGGTAAGTTAGCGATGGTGGGAGCAACACGCCTTCAGCTATCCTCGTCCACGGAAGTAAAGTAACTCTTGTGTTTCTTAATTCATGAAAACTGACATTTTTATTTTTTGTTAACGTCAGCTTTTTTTTTTCGCTAAGGAGATGATCCAAGTTTATCTTTTGTGTTCTCGTTTTTTGAGGAGGGGGAGGAGGGCTAAGGGGTGTTGTTGAGGTGTGAGAGGTTGTATATTGTATGGTGAACATTTAGTGGCTTGGTATTATCTTAGTGCCCCGTTATTGTTCGTTATCTACCAGAATCTCCCCAGCGATGAATTAACCAGCCACACCCCAACCCAACCCAACCCAACCCAACCCAACCCAACCCAACCCACCCCAACCCAACCCAACCCACGTGAAGTAGAAAATGAAATATAGACATTGAACACGACGCGGATGAACACACACCCACGTTAGCGGTGCTGAGAACGCCCTCACACTTCTCTAGGGAGAGTTTGTGCTGTTAATAGCTACAACGGTTCCTGTAATACTGTAAGAGATCAGGTACAAGTCAATACTCCTTCGGTGCTTACAGTTGATTTTGTTCGGTGTGAGACAAGACTGAGATCACCGTCGGAAACAGTGTTAAGAGAAGCTTCTTAAACTCCAAGATTTCTACACTAATTATGTACCTGTAAAGCAAAGTTATCTAGTTATCTGTATAATATAAACTGGAATATCGCTTACCTTGTGGGTGTCAATGTCACCTTCTCGACAGGTCTTTTATGACTATTAAACCCTCTGTTGTTAAGTGTGTGCTCACATTAATTCTGGGCTGCTGTAAGTCATATTTGTAAACGTGCTGGCCTCCGTATGTCTTATGCCATGGTGTGTGTGTGTGTGTGTGTGTGTGTGTGTGTGTGTGTGTGTGTGTGTGTGTGTGTGTGTGTGTGTGTGTGTGTGTGTGTGTGTGTGTGTGTGTGTGTGTGTGTGTGTGTGTGTGTGTGTGTGAACTTTGTCCCGGGTTCTTGTACCAAGCGCCACCCGGACATTAAACAAAACACCAGTGCTGGGCTCTCCTGGGTAAGGAGGAGGCGTGGCACCTGCCTGTGTGTGGGTGACCTCTGACCCCTGTTGGTGACCCCGCCTTACCTCTGGTTGCCCTACAAACGAAAAAAAAATAAATAAAAAAATACAACTTAGGTTTTGCTATCAAACTTTTTTATTCTAAAAATGTATGAATGCGTACACGAATGTTTGTAAGTATTTATTTCTACATGTATATTAATGTTTATACATACAGTGCACACGAGTTTACTCATGTGCCTAAAAGTCTTACAGTTCTTCTTAATCACAAATCTCTACTTAGATTATCTAGATTATTTTTACGTGAGAAGATTATATGAAATCTATAATTAACAAATTCTAAACGTATCTACTGGGAGCCATTTCAAGACGACCTGTACTTGCACCGCTGTGATGAAATACCTTAGTGTTCGCCTCTTTAGTGTAATTTTTGGCTGATTAAACCCTTTCACCTCCGCTCCCCCACCTCCTTCAAACATCTGGATACGAGTACACTTTTTCATTGACGAGTAAAGGTGTTTGTCATTAGTCTTAAGATATGCAGAAATACAGTAATAATTTTGAATATGAGTGATATGTGTGTGTGTGTGTGTGTGTGTGTGTGTGTGTGTGGGTGTACCCGTATTTGCATATGCACCTGTACCTGTATTTACCTGTACTGCTGCAGAGAATTTAAATCCACTGTGTTTTTCTCCCCAGGATGATCTTCACTACCACTTCTACCCCCACAACCAACACCTCTTCAACTTGCCCGAGTGTGCCACCCAGCAGGTTAGTGTGCCACCCAGCACATGAGTGTGCCACCCAGCAGTTGAGTGTGCCACCCAGCAGGTGAGTGTGCCACCCAGCAGGTGAGTGTGCTCATTCAGCAGTTGAGTGTGCCACCCAGCAGGTGAGTGTGCCACCCAGCAGGTGAGTGTGCTCATTCAGCAGTTGAGTGTGCCACCCAGCAGGTGAGTGTGCCACCCAGCAGGTGAGTGTGCTCATTCAGCAGTTGAGTGTGCCACCCAGCAGGTGAGTGTGCCACCCAGCAGGTGAGTGTGCCACCCAGCAGGTGAGTGTGCCACCCAGCAGGTGAGTGTGCCACCCAGCAGGTGAGTGTGCCATCCAACAGGTGAGTGTACCACCCTCCCACCTTTTATCTTTCATCCACCTCTGAAAATTCTCAACCAAACAAAGTAGAGAATATTGATTTATGTTTACTGAGGCTGAAGAGATCACTGGTTGACCCACCCTAGCCACACCTTCAAAGGTTCCTTGCGTTGGATTTTTCTCTTAGCTGAAGTTATAAGAAAGAACCCAATTGGTCGATCTAAATATACTATTCCAAAAACCACAGCTGCAAAATATATTGAGAGAGACTATCTTAAACTAGCACCAAGGTAGGGGTCAAAATTAACAATCCAAGATGGAGGTCAAAGGTCAGGTAGGAGTGCACTAACTGTGGAATACAACGCTAATAGACTCCGGTCACGTCTTGGTACCCATTGACATGCTGACGTCCTGAAGCATGGCAAGGTAGGTCCACCTGTGTGTTTATTTCCAACAGATTAATATTGTAAATTAATTTTGTTATCCTACACTTGCTAACATCATCGTCTCGTGTCACTCCCAGCCTTACTTTCTCAGTTCATCCCGAGCTTGACAATACGACGCATGTTGCCTTGTTTAGTTGCCCTTACAGTCATTCACAGGGAGCTTAACTTGTAATCTATATGAGTTCTCTTAGGTGTAACATAGATAGTCTCCCTGTAGCGTGTGTGTCCTCCCTCAGGTATAAGATAGTCTCCCTGTAGCGTGTGTCCTCCCTCAGGTATAACCTCAGGTATAATATAGTCTCCCTGTAGCGTGTGTGTCCTCCCTCAGGTATAACCTCAGGTATAATATAGTCTCCCTGTAGCGTGTGTGTCCTCCCTCAGGTATAAGATAGTCTCCCTAACCTGTGTGTCCTCCCTCAGGTGTGTAACGCAGTGTACAAGCGTCTCAAGTTCACACAGCCTCTATGTCAGTGTCCCCAAGGCAGTGACCCATGCAGCGTCTCCTACCTCCCCAACGACGAAAGATCCATCGAGCTCTCCATGGGCGGCCGAGAGACACGGGTGGGTCTTACTGTTGTTGTCTTCTCTCCCGTTGTCTTCTCTACCAATAGTGATGGTGTCTTTACTTTCCCCAGCTCCTACACTTCCAGGTTCCCATATCTCATCACCTTTCCAATCAACCAGTTACTTTCACGGTCATTATGTTGACGAACTACATTCAGTGCTGTCATCATCACGCACCCACCACTGGCCGACGATGATATCTGTCAGTGTATACGTCTTTACTGTCACTGCTCTACCTTACAGAAACTACCTAAAAAAAATATTTCCTTTATACCTCAACTAGTACTGTGTGGAATAACCTCTGACTGTTATTCCTGTATTAAACAATCTCTAACTATTTATACTGTACTTCCAACTGGCACTGTACTGAGAGAGCCACAGTGTGTTTCTCGTACATGACCTCTAAAAGTTTAAAATATCTGCCTTCAAACTTCTTCCGTCTTAGGTAAATAGAGTTGGTAATAACACTTGTCTCATCTCTTCCAATGTCACTTGTTTAAAAGAGTTTCTTGTTTGCCATGTTTCTTGTGAGTCTTGCTTCACTCTCTGGTGTGGGTGTTTCCTGTGAGTCTTGCTTCATTCTCTGGTGTGGGTGTTAATCTTCATCGTGTTGTCGGACTTGATCTCGTTTTATATACGATATGATTTTTGTTAATTTTTATGAATTATTCTTTCATCTTGTTACACTTGTGATGATGTTAGAGTGACACATCGATCTGTCTTAATACTGTACCATTTTCTTCCTTCTGTCACCTTGCCCGTGGTGTGTCAACAAGTCTGTAGTTCACTAATATAGTTCTCAATACTACCATAATTTACTTGGTTAATCTGTATTTCACTTAGTTAGAGAAGATTAGTTCTTAATGTTGCTATATTCTACTTGATGTGTCTGTTTCTTACCTATTATAGTTAGAGTAGAATAGTTCTTAAAGCTACCATAGCGTGTTTACGATATTCCTCTTTGTTGTCGTGTCTGTGTGTACCGTGAGTGTTGATGTACCTGAACATTCCCCCTTGTCTCTCAGGGCGACTCTCCAAGTACTGAAATCTCGCCCTTCCAGGCGACGACGCTCATCAAGACGTGTGAACCTGTGTGGAGTGTGAGGCAGTGTCGTAAACCCCGGGACTGGTCCATCCTCGCCCTGCAGAACACCCGCACTGGCAAGGCTCACTACCTCGTCATCTGCAAGTGTCCCGACACCTCTAAGCTGGGTGAGAACGACAACCAACACCCACACCGGGGAGTGAAGGGAGGATGACAGGGTGATGGAGAGCTGGGAACACCGGGAAACTGATTTACTAAAGGCAACAAAATAATGTATAAATTGCCTGACAGTTACCACACCCAATAGCCGCTGAACCTGTCGAGGGATTCTTGTGGATTGTTCAGGGGCTCCCTGCTGGGTCGACAGAGGTATCAGGTGTCAAGTAATTTGCTCAAAGTTCCACCCAGGATCTCAATCATTTACTACTCGCTTTAGAGGCGAGAATAATATCCAGTATTATGTTGTCACTGTGGGAGTTCAGACAAGACTTTGGGACTTTTAGAGTATGTATGTGACAAAACCTGATATAGAAGTAGAACGTTAAACATTTTGATATTATAAAAAGTCTCCCAATTCGATACCAACGGATATATTTGCCTCTGGTTATTTTCAGGTTTTTACAAGAGTGGTAACTGTGTAGTGTCAGTTTTTCAGATCTCAGACTGACAGCCGGAGCTATACGGTGATGGCTGGTGCTGTGGAGAGACATGTCGAGGAGTCATTTTCCCAATATGTTTATAGTTAAGCAGTAGAGAACCGCATCTGTACACTGGTATGGGAGGTCCATGATCTAACTAGTTGGGCCATTGGGTGGTGGGCAGACACAACATTTACAATAAACGTATCACACAGGATCAAATACCTAACACGTACCTGTGCTGATGCCAGGTTGAGAGAGATGTTTTATTTGTATAGAAAGAAATGTAATAAAAAATATAAACTAGAAATATTTTAGCAAACAAAGACGTCTATATCCCGGACCAGACAGAAGGGTCAACTGTTTTACATACAAATATCATGAAAGAACTTTGGAAGAGTTGCTAGAGTTTAATAATAGATAACATAATAGTATCTTAATTATCAAATGGTAAACTTTTTTATATGTTTACTAACCTTTCAAGTTCTGAATTATCACTGGAAACGAGGCGCACAAGGGAGATCAAGGGAAGAGTATGGTCCGTCTGGTTTATTGTCAAAAGAATTGTTTTCCTCATTGAGTTCACCTTGAAAACGGTCAGAATATTCGAATTTGTATCTAGGTATTTTTTTTTACACCTGCCTTATGGGTTTTAGGTAGCCGCACGTCTCTGGCTAAATGAACACCTTAACCTGAAGGCCGAAGGTACTTTGAACACCTAACTTGACATCTTAAACCCGCCCATGCATCTTTCCCTTCTGTTCTGGTAATGTTCGTAACTCAATAACAATGTGTGGCAGGTAATGGTGTCCTCTGCGAGGTCTAGGATCAGGAGAAACTCTGTAATACTTTTACTGTAGTCGAGAGGACGAGTGTTAGTGCACTACAAGAGAACATTTACACTGATACCATCTCTTCTTCATAGAGGGTCCCCTCAACCACGACCAGCCCACATACGCCCAGGTGCCTGGTATCCGTGTCTACGGCATGATGTGTGTCAGCAGGAACTACCGTCGTGCTGGTCGTGGCCTTCCAGGTAAGTCTGTACGTGTAAAACACACACACACACACACACACACACACCATTAAATAAAAGTTAATGTTTTACAGTCTAAAATGTAATAGTTTATAGGCTAAAAGTCATTAATAAGTCATATGGGTGAGAGATAGTTTATTTCTTCCTGATTGATTAATTTTTTTTACAAACTTTATGTCATATTTATCTCTGTGAAACTAAACAGGTGAGAGCGAGGCGAGTTTCCCATGGGAGCGAGTGACGGCGGCGCTGGAGGGGGGACAACTGCTGAAGGACCTGATGGACGAAGAGGACGTCGGCACCCCAGCTCTCATCCCTCTCCACTGACCTCTGACATCTACCTGATTGACTGTCATGATTAGCTAGTATCCATGTCTGAACCCAGAGCCTCAGAGGCAAGACACTCACTAGACATATGACTGTTGCCTAAAGCATATTGTGAGTGATTGGTGGGTGACGACTTCCAAAATGACTCTTTTTTTGAGCCATTGACCTTCTTGTTCTCTCTTCACTGTCATTGTCATCCTCATTCATGGCTCCTTTGTTTTCCCTTTTTTTCTGGGGTGAGACACGTAAAATAAAAGGTTAGTGGCACCAAAGGTGTTTTTTTTTTGTGGCGGCAGTGTTCAGTTGTTCGTCTTGTGTGGGAGTTATTCACTTGTATGCACGTATGTCTAAACCAGTGCTCAGACAGAATCAAAATGGTGACCACATGTAGTGACTGGTATGTATTGACCACATCAATCTTGGTGTAGGCTATGTGTTTATGTCTGTTTACTGGCCGCACCACACCAGTACCATGTTCATCTCTACATACAGGTCATATGTTATTCCTATATACCTGCATGACAACAACATAGCACACATATTGATCCCACATACTGGGACCATAATCCTTATACACAGGTCGTGATGGTGATTTACACGGTACTTACTATTCATTCAATATTTTAATGTGTGATGGGGAACTCTTTAACATTCATAAATATATAATTATGCTCATTACACTGGAGTCTTCAGCTGGACTGGAGCATGAACGAGCATGGACCCAAAACAACGGTGGAGACGTAGACCTCCTTCACCTTCTTATATTAAACACTAAAGAGACATGGACAATGAGGGAGACTTTGCTTTACTTTATTAACACAAATTTAAAAAATTCTTGGAACTAAGTATTTTTCCCACCATCTTACTGACAGTTATATATCCTGTTTCTGACTCTTGATAAATGTTCGAGTAATATTCATTAACTTGAAGCAGGTATCAGCTATTTCTACCTGACATTGTTTAGTGTTATAGTAAATTTAATTGTAAACGACACCGCAGGTTTAGAAATGAATTATATCTGGTATTAATTATTTAGATTATTATAGAGGACTTGTTTAATAATATAATTATCCTTTTAATACCACAGACTGAATTATTGATTAATTGTTAGAAAATATACCTTGTGTAAGCCTAAGCTCCGTCCTACGCCCTACAGTAATTACTTCAACACAGACAATTTAAAGAGATACACACTGTCAGATCAGGAAAACATGACGCCATCACCCTCGCATAAAATAAAAGTACTTTGGTAAATTATGTGAGTCTTGAGAGTTAAAGGTATAAATTCACCTTTATGAAAGTACTGTAGTCATTTTTAGTCTCTCTTGCCATTCTTGAAGTGATAGTCCGGAGTCCAGCACAATTCATAGAGGCGCAAAACAGCATTTCCAATCGAATTAATAACTAAACATAAGATTGAATATTTCGCATACTACATCAGTCATATTTTATCTTCCTGCGAGTGAATAGAATATCACCTTTGTTCCAAAATTGCCCAGAGTGATATCAGAAGCTGTTATAACCAGCTGATGTGGTCTGTGATGGCGTGTGAGCGTTATTTCTAGAGATTTTATTATGTTTATATAAACAGATAGTAATATAGTTGTTATGAACTGATCATCGAGGCGAGTGTACAGTATTATTTAATATATATCACAGTTTTGTTACAATTTGTTTCCGCGCACTTGTTTCCCGCAGAGAACCTCCGTGTTTTCATTCTATCGGTTTTATTAATTGCCAAATGTACAAAGTTGTTTTAAATAAAATTATTGTTTATGTGATGCAAATATTATTTTCCCTTTTATTTGATCTTGTTTAACTTTAATCTCTTCAATTTCTTAACCATCATGACTGCTACTTAACCTCTCCCATGTGCTAAATCAAGCGAGTTCTTATGGTTGGTTAAAGTAGGCAAATAAAAAAAAAAAATATCTAACATGTACCAACACTTAATAATATATCGTTAAAATTAAAAATGAAGAACATAAGAGGAAAGTTAACACAAGTCACGAGAGTAAATGTTAAACTCTTATATCCTGTACACCCAGGTAGACGCAGATAGTGAATACGCTGTGTTGACAATGAAAAGATATCCTTGTCGATTTTCATCTAAAGGAATGTGTCAGGAGATATTACCATGTATGTATGTATGAATGTATGTAGTGCACACATATAGGTTTCCATAGTCACACACAGTAAGACTTCCAGTGACCTTTTCCTCACAAATTTATATTTTAAACTTTTGTCATCCACACAATGACCCCATAACTTTCTTAACAGGTTATCTGTCTACATCCAGCCACTAAAATGTTGTCACGAAATGTAAGCGAACCCCAAGTGCAAAGCCAAAGTCGCCTGAACTCTGGACAATAATCTCAACAATATGCTGTATTGTTTAACCAATTCATTTCAGATCTTGATTTTATATCTACATACTTCCTATATTAAGTTTGGTTAAGATATATTGATGTAACTCATGGGCAGACATCATACATTCTGAAAACCTTCCTGGAGCAGACAAACGCTGAGGAGCTATATTACTCGACCTGTGGATGTGATGCTATAACTCGGACTGGTGAAGAAGAATCACAATGTAATGTTTTTTTCTAGTGTTGGGGGTTATTTACTTGAATGTTACTCAAAATATAAAATCAGAAGGAAATTACAGAGATAACTTCCTGTGTTCATTCTACCATCACCATACAGTGTTGCTTGTCAAACATTGCAGCGATGTTAAATGATATGTGTAATCATCCAAAAATCTTTGTTCCACTGTAAAATTTGCATTACGTTTATATTGTAAAATAATGTCTAAAATAAAAAAACCATAAACACCCAATGATTTATTCAGAAATTTCATTATTATCCATATAATTCAATTTCGTCCTTAATCTACACTGTACATGAGTTGTCCGGCTGGGTGGCCACGTCTGTCACTGAAGCGTCCTCACCAGTGTTCTTCACGTGTGTCTGAAGCCAAGTTACTCATATAATACTAATTCTCACGTGTACATAAGACCACAACTGAGCTGCATCATATGACAGACGCTGCTTCCATTCACAACATTAGACGACGAAATATTACATTCTTAACTCATTTCCACCCTTAGTTGTCTTGAGCTGCCTGACAAATACTAACCACCAGACACAGTAGTTCACAAGCGACATAAAATAGTTCAACCTGCTGTACCCTCAAGTGATGAAAATCCCTGGTGGCAGGGACTCACACTACAGGTTACCACAGCCTGAATTTACCTGCTCTTAGTTTAGTCGATTCTCTGGTCTCATCGTAAGAACTCGCCCTTCGTCGCTGTTCAACACATTCGGTTACTGACAGCTAAGTGTAGTTATTCATTTGGTTACATATTACTTTTCCCATTTAATTTGTATTGCAATTGAGTGTTTACTTCGTTAGTTTAGGGGAAGTTGTTTTAATGTTATTACTGCGGGAATACTGCGCCTCAACAACGAAGGTCTTTAAGCGCGTTTTGTTACAGCAATGTTCATTTTCTTTTAACTTTCTATTTTGTTGTTTTTGTGTTAATATAATTTATCCAAAACAAACTTTTTGCTACTGTACTTCTTTAGTTAAAAAAAATTAATGCAGGAAAATAAAATACACCCGTAGAGGAAGTAATTAAGTCTCACTACGCCTTAAAAGAATTTGTTAACTTTTAATGACGTTGATTGGGAGATTTTTCCTTCTACAAAAAGTTCTTCAGTTATCCAAAATCCCAAGACAACCGTTAATGAAATCCAGAAATCAGGAAAAGTTTTGTCATGTAAGATTTTCCTTGTTTCCAGGACATAAAATTCAATGTTTACTTCAATGACTACGGAACTGCTCTAGTGTTCCCTCATTATGACTGAAGCCAAGTTACTCAATACTTATAGTGTCCAGCTACTGAGCAAGTTTCTGAGTTGTGTTGTTTGAAATCTAGCTTTGTTTATCCTCTTGTAAACCTTCTCATGCCATACTGCAGGGTAGCCATATTATTATTAAACCTCAAGTTTCCGCAATTACTCAAAGCTAACGTCTTCATGCATTAGAATGAAATATTGAACTTCTGGTTAATAAATTTTAAATCGATAACAAATTAGTAGTGATATAGTCTGGTCTCCCAAACTTTCCAAGAAGGTTTCCACTTATACCGAAGAAGCTCTTATGATTCTTTAGTTTAAAAGTCATCAAGAATTCCTGGAATACGTGGCATTGGTTCAGGTGATGAACATGGGGATGGTGACGGGGACCTAGGCTTTGGAGGAGGCGACTTAGGCTTTGGAGGAGCCGATTTGGGCTTTGGAGGAGGCGACTTGGGCTTTGGAGGAGCCGATTTGGGCTTTGGAGGAGGCGACTTGGGCTTTGGAGAAGGTGATCTAGGCTTTGGAGATGGGGATCTAGGCTTTGGAGATGGGGATCTAGGCTTTGGAGATGGGGATTTGGGCTTTGGAGATGGGGATCTAGGCTTTGGAGATGGGGATCTAGGCTTTGGAGATGGGGATCTAGGCTTTGGAGATGGGGATCTAGGCTTTGGAGATGGGGATTTGGGGTTTGCAGATGAGGATCTTGAGTCTGGAGATGAGGACCTTGAGTCTGGAGATGAGGACCTTGAGTCTGGATATGGAGATGCAGGTGGAGAAAAGTTATCTCCAATCATGGGTGGGCCCAGCTCGGGGTCACGTGAATCATCCTTCTTCTTCTTCTTCTTCTTTTTCTTCTTCTTTTTGTCCTTGTCATCATCTACCATCTGCACATCATCAGATTTAGTGTTGAGACCAATCTCACGAGCCAGCCAGCGGCATTTACCGACCAGTTGCTCTTGCATGAGGTTGATGCACATGGACAGCAACGCCATACCTGTAGATGACGAATACAGTGATAAATGTGTTATTAAGAAATTAATGACTAATGGGTGTGTTCATTTAAGACGTGTCAATTAAATGAGCCGGGAAATATTAATTCTGGGAAACTTGTTTACTGTTTAATTTCCTATGGTTCGTAATTAAGATAAAAAAGATGACTGGGTGTGCAATTATTTCCTTCTTATCTCTGTGATTCTAAATAATGGAAAATTAACCCAACTTTACAAGCAAACAAATATTCGAGAAACATGCATGTTCATGATATGAAGCTAATTAATGATTTTAATTTAAATGTGAAAAGCATTTTTCAAGTTCCCGAATATAAACAATAGTTCGTACACACGGATAATGGAAGGAAGTGCAACACTGTGCATGGCGGGGCAGGAAATATTTCCACCAACAAATTTAGAACAAAGACAATAGAATTTACCGTCAGAGTGCGATTCCCTTGATATGCTCACATAAGACAATACAGTACTTACCAAGCACGATATACAAAATACATATGATCATCTTGATAGTCCCAGAACCACTGCTACTGTCCAGGATGGCATTACCGGGAACCAAGTCCCCATAGCCGATGGTAGAGAGCGTGACGAAGGTGAAGTAACATGAGGAACTTAAGTCCCAGTTTTCCCAGTAGGCGAACAGCACAGCACCCAATGCGATGTATAGACTCAGCAACAACAAGTTGATGGTGATGGGGACATCCATCTGCGGGCAGGAAGAACCGTGTGTATTAGCATGATGAGTCTCAGTAACAGGCACAAGAGTTCGAGGCCTTACGACTGGCCACTTGGGAGCATGTTGTAATAGTTTGGCAAACAGTGTGGTACAACTCTCCACCTACCAGTGTGGTACAACTCTCCACCTACCAGTATGGTACAGCTCTCCACTTACCAGTAACTTTGGGGAAGCCTTTCCTACTAAAGTTGAGGCCGCCGGGACAAGCACAAGTTACTTTACGCCTGTTATCATAAAGGCTGAAGATGATAAGGTACTCACTTTATCAGTGGGCATGTACTCCTCGTTGCCAATTTCGTCATCAATGAGTAATTTCCGATGCTTCTTGCTTGCATTGGCGGGAAGTTCCTCCTCGTTACGCCGACTTCTACACCACCGGCAGCAGCACCGACTGTGAGGAAGCAACACATCATTTATCTCACGTCTCAAGAGCAACACATACACAAGTTATTCTCTTGTATAAAAATAAAAGAGAGAGAGAGAGAGAGAGAGAGAGAGAGAGAGAGAGAGAGAGAGAGAGAGAGAGAGAGAGAGAGAGAGAGAGAGGACCCACCTGTAGATGTAGATGAAGGTGTCGGCCATGGAGTTCCCGAGGTTACCCAGGAACACCAGCAGGAGGGGGCAGCCGATGATGGCGTAGATGATGCAGAATAACTTGCCGTAGTCTGTTACCGGGTAGATGTGACCATAACCTTGGGGGGAGGGAGGGGGCAGATAAGACGATAGACATTAACTGAGAGGTGAAAGGGAATGAGTTATATGAAGTGAAATACATCTGAAAGTTTTTTATTGAGTTCATGTTATCATTAGCCTGAGTTATCCCACTAAAAACACTCCCAGTTTTGTGTACTTTAATATTATTTAGGCCCATTGTTAACAGCTGAAGCAGAATGTAATCTTTTCCATTGAGTGTTTCGGGGTCATTAGCCACCACGAGGAGCAATAGTTCTTCTGGTAATACACTTATGGGAGGAGACTAACAGGTGATGATTGAGTTATGGGGTTGGGTGAGGTGAGGTGAGGTTAGGTTAGGTTAGGTTAGGTTAGGGACGTACCAATGGTGGACATGATAGTCATGGTGAGGAGGATAGACTTGGGCAGCGTCCAGCTATAGTCCCATCCGTCCACTGTTCCATCATAATTGTATTCAGACACAGCGGTGATGACATATGTCTCCAGCTGCTTCAGATCTACGCGTACCTGAGGAAGAAACAAGGGATCAGGAGCTTTTTCCTTTTTCCTTTTTATAACAAACTATCAAAATTACTCGACTTCACACGGGTTAATATTGTATCACCTTTACTATCACAGTTTGCCCTCACTGAGACGGGTAACCTAACCTAACCTAAGCTAACCTAACCTAACCTATCTAAAAATAATGAAAATGATAAGCTATCCTTCAGTTATAAGAAACTAAAAAAAAATAATAATAATTAACAGCTAACAATCATACTTCTAATAATTTGATAACTAAAAATATGTATAAATAAAAGTTCCTTACGTGAAGCTAAAATCTGAAGGGGCAAATAAAAAGAAGCTAAAATAAGAAGCCACACCTGTAGCCTTTCACCCACCTGATTGGTATATTCCGCGAAGTCGGTCCAGTTGTTCTCACCGTAGAACCAGAAGAGCTGAGCCATGTAGTTGATGGTTTGGTTCACCTCACCAGCCATTCTTCTCTTCTTCTCAAAATTTATCTCCTCATTGGGAAGTTCGATCTCCATGAATATGTAGGCACCTGGTGGAGACATGGGAGAACTAGCGGAGACATGGGGGTGAGGACAACTGAGGTGGGGGGGGGGACGACAGGTTGGGTTTAACAGAACAGCTGGTGACGGGGATGGTGAGGAGGGACATTCAGCTAGTGAAAAGGAGGTGGACTGAAACAACAAGGGGACAGTCATATAAATATACCAGCACATACATGCACATACACATAAGTATACATACAGAAAAATGCATACATACACATACACAGGGGGTTGTAGTAGTTTTACTGTGGTGATTTGCTGTATTCCAGATAGACTTAGTTTCCTCAAACAAAGCAATTATTGAGACTAGTTTAGACTAAAAAGTTCAGCTAAAACTAGGTATAACTTTTCATCTCAGTATTTCAGGTTTTCCCAATACTCCTTTAGTGTAAATATTTTGGCCTAAGTAATACTAGTTGTATACCGTACAGCCAATATAGCTTCTGGTTTTGACTCACTTAAACTGATTGTGGCTTATTTCGGGTTTTAACTGCAAAACCTCTGCTGGTGGGCCCGGGTACCTGTTACCACTGCAACCCCCAAGGACAGGCCCTGACCCATGAGACTGCACTGTCCTATTGGTGCTGATGACTCTGACACTTCTCTGTGTATGGCACCAACGACAAGTTCACTCTGATGATTATAGGTCAGTGTGTCATGTCGGTCTCTATGATGACCTAACCATACGACACGACACAGCCACGCCCACAAAGGCACAACATCGGGGCCCCCTAATCGCAGTTGGGCCCTAGACAGCTGCTTCTGTATGATGCCCGGGTATAATCAATGAACGTGATGTAATAGATGTGACCTAAATACATATATAAATATGTTAGGTGTTTGTATTTACTTATATTTATATTACAATTGAAAAATAAACACAAGTTGGTAAATACTCCATTTTTTAAGATATGTGCGTGTGTAGTGTAGGCCTATGTGTTTGCTTGTATTTTTCTGTTTCTCTCTCTATGTATACGAGTCTATATATGTATGTGCATCTATGTATAATTGTATGTGTGTGTGTGTGTGTGTGTGTGTGTGTGGTGACGTGCGCGTGTACCCTTACGTTGCCATGATACGTAAACAAAGATTTCCCGCCAAGGTGCCAAGGTAACATGTCAAGGTCTCACGACATTGAGGGAGAGGGAAGGAGGGAGAGTTAGAGGGGGAGGGAGGGAGGTGTAGAGAGAGAGAGAGGTGTAAAGGGAGAGGTGTGAAGGGAGATGAACGGAGGGAGGAAGAGGGAAGGAAGGTGTAGATGAAGGGAGGGAGGGAGGGAGGGATGCAGGAAGGGAGGCAGCAATCAGTATTATTTTTGGCAGTAACATTTCAAGTCTCAGACAACCGGACAACGAGCCCAAACAGAGACAAAATGAGCGCGTCTTTTTTACGTCTGAGAATGTTATCTTAATTAAAAAATATAACCCTCAAAAAGAAAATAGCTTTATTATTATTATTATTATTATTATTATTATTATTATTATTATTATTATTATTATTATTATTATTATTATTTTGTTCGGTAATTGGGATCACACGTAAGAAAATACCGCATTAATTGGCAAGTTGATTCCTCTCACGCGAACATAACAACATAACCAAAGTATCCTATCATTCTTATTCTATCAGTTTACAATATTTCTGTGGCTGCTTTCTGAACAATACGAACACTCAAATAGGTGTATAAGCGTGTGTGAATGTGGATCATCAGTTACTTTAAACATTCATTTCATTACTCGTACTACTGCTACTACTACTGAGATTAACAAGAAGCAGTTATTTAGTTATGTTTAAATCGTTGTGTTAAATAAAACACCATTTGCTCATGTATCTCTATGTCGTAGCTTATGAGTGTTAAATTCCTTCTTACATTCCCATTAAGAGGAATATTTCAAAGAATTTATTTTCGAAAGTTAATGTACTTGAGTATAAGTAGAGCAGCGGGGTGACCTGGGGGGGCAGAGAGTCGAGGGAGTATTGATTCACATATGTCTATGGCAACGTTTGTTATGTTGTGATGGTTACCTTAATCTGCCTCTCTCACTACTACCTCGCTGTTTAAACGACCTCTTCTATATATATTCGTGTGTGTGTGTGTGTGTGTTTCTCAATGCACGCTGTCCTTCGCTAAACTGGATAATTTGACTTATTACATTGATTAATAACATCGTAAGTGGACGTATCTAGATAAGGTAGTGCCTGTGTATTACTAATATATTTGGGTGTTATCTTTATGTTTACTTTAGATTAACCAAATAATAACTGATATATAGGCATTTAGATGCATACTTGTATATCCATTTACGAAGAATATTCATCGTGCAAACTTTTGAGAATGTACCTAGCTCCTGAAGGCCCCTGGCTCACACCTTTCACATCTGACCGTCTGTCGTATATCCTCCGTTTCATAGACAATATTTAAATTTTGGGAGAAAGGAGAACATAGTAATAATAGTTGACGATGCTTCAAGTAAATAATGGCTTTCCTCCAAGATTTTCACTAGAACGTCTGTTTTATTATATAGCAAACCCAAGGGCGATGCAAGGAAACGTCGACTGAATATACTGTACTTAATAAGTGGCAGATGACGTGGCCTCCGTGTCTGTGGCTTTAGCAATTAGTAAATAATTATTAATGAGCGAGTCTGATTTTTGTCGGAATTAACCACTGAACGATTGAAGTCAGACAGTGCTTAGTTGTCTTAAGTTAAGTGTACCCTCTCTCTGGTGTTTTGAAAGTTGGCACTTGACTACAGTATTGAGATTTGTTTTACTTGATATTAATTTTGTGTAATCTTCTTGAACCTTCACTTACTCAGCCACTTCCAAAAATCTTGTTATCATTGTTATTTATTTTATCTTGAGTATAATGAAAGAGAGAAGCGTGTCGTGAAATTTGGTGAAAACATATGACGAAGGGCTAAACTTTTGGACAAAACCGCGACACGATTTTTGTCTTTGAGTGTACGTATGTGGTGGTGGGAATAAGTTACTAAATGTTCATATATTTACTGACTTGTTTAGGTTTGACCTGTATATTTTTGTTAATTCGCCAAAGCGTAGAAGACGCATTCGAGACGAGTGTTTTGGAAGATATTGCATTTCATTGTAGAGATGATTAAATTAGCACATGCAGCTGAATTTGAATTTCACTCAGTCATTTTTTATTATTCTGAAGTATATCTTATTTTCCTGCACACTAGGTCGGGATTCGGCTGTGGATTTTAGATCTGACTTAAATAATCTCGAAAATGGTGACGCTTACTTACCAGCCATGGCGTACAGAGCGACGATCAGAAATAGCCCAAAGTGACTGAAGAGGAAGTGGAAGAAAAAAGTACTGGCTGTCTTCTCCTTCTTGTTGTAGAAGCCTTCCTCCGCGAACTCCCCGTTATCGGCCATGGTTTAAAGAGGCGGGTCTCAGGGGTAACGAAACTTAAGCTGGAAGTTGAGTCTGCCTGCGACGCTTCATCTGCCAATTCATGACTCCCAGTTTTCCGAAATCATTCCTGAGTAGCGCCTGTATACCTGGTGGTGGTGCAACCCGTGTATCAACCTGGCTATGTCTCCACTCCCACTGGCAACACTTCACCACATCCACGAGGGAGGGGAGGGCGGGGGGGCGGGGAGTCAGGGGTTTGTTTATGGCAACCACTCTCCCCCTCCCTACCCCACACACTGTGACGCACGTGGTGGTGGGTACTGTATGTTATTTTACCTATGTCAACCTTTATTGATTTCTTTCGCATAATTCTCTCAACATTTTGTAGCATTCGATAATCTATATGCCTGATTTGCTGCTTAGTAGGGTTAGGTTAGGTTAGGTAAGGTAAAATTTAGTACATATTTACAGCTGGGTGGACTAGGGGGAGACCCGGATCAAACTAGCAACCTGTTGTAGCCACTCAACCACCGCATCCCTATACATGTATTGACAGACCACAGCCACTTTCACTCACTCGCTTACTCCCTCTGGCAAATGAGTGAATGTTAATTTTGTAAACTGTAAATGGAAAGAAGCCCAAGGAGAAGATGGAATGAAATAATAATTTGATTATTTATATATTCTGACAAAAAGTGATATTGTAGCTAGACAAAAAATATCCTTTTATACTGTTGCAAAAATGAACCCTTTATTCGTTTTCCTAGATGAATATAATATTTTTTTATGCGTTAGTACTCTTATACCAAATATATTTCAAGTCAGAGGCAGAAGTGTATCAAACAATGAGCCATAAATCGTAATAAAGACGAAATGAAGACTAAAATTCCTTGACGCTGTAGTTGGAGACAGTAATACACCCGGAACAGGTGGCTAGGTAAGGGCAGTCAAGTAGCTCTGGGTATATAACTCTCAACACGGACATATGAAACTAATCTATCATTTCACGGGATCAAACATTACTTACACGTTAACAAAATACCTGAAAACTGGACAAATATTCGGGCATACACAGCAACACTGAGCAATCTGATCGCCTCATTGCACAGATTTATAATATATTTCTAAATGTCTTATCAGTAAATGTTTAGTATCTTTATCTCAGTACTAATCTATGTAAATTGATGCATTAGTTTTCTGTAAATAGTTTCTTTATGTAATAGCAACAGGAATATAATAAAATAAAATATATGCTTCTTAAGACTTTGTAGTATAAGCGTTCTCTCTGCTACCTCTATAAACCCATTATGCTTGGGATATTTTCCCTAAATTTGGCATAAGATTAAATTTTCCGAGCTTCAACTAAATTAATTTTTGTATAAAATATATTTTATATTAAATAATTTTGGTTATACAAAAGTATAAATTTATGTTAACAAATTTATTCTACAATATGAGTCTGATTTAAAGATGTAAATAACACTAGGAATGTAGTCAATGTTAAAAATTATTCAAAACAAGACCGGTTAATCTCTCAACCTACTATAAGAGTTAAGATGATTAATTTAACCATATATAATAAAATAAAATAAAATAAAATATCATTAAAATAATGCGTAGATAGGGATATGTATAGGATGATTCTGTTGCTTGAAATAAATAAATACTTATCAGAGTTGTTCGTGGTGTTTTTTAACATCAATCATTACTAGACCCAGCATGGCCATGTGTAAAGAGTGACGACTGATGGAGTTGTTTTAATTATAATCTTAAATATAGTAACTTGAAGACCTTGAGTGTAATGGCAGCAACACTTTTAAGCACAAGTTTCCTCTGCAGTGACTTTCATCCCAAAAACCTTATTGGAGTTACCAGGGACAAAGACGAGCACCTATTGATAACATGTAAAGGAAACGTGAAGCTTTATAATGTAAGTACTGTAGACCCACCAATGCTCTATAACCCTTAATAGCCAACAATTCTTAGCTCTAACTCTTTTGACTGGTACAGTATTTGTTAATGATATAGTTTAATCGCCTGTTTCGTAATGTAGGAAACACATGATGCTATGATGTTAACTACAAGTAACTACAGTACGCAAGATAGATAGATAGATGTTTGTTTAGTCTAATCTACATATCCGTTTACATTGGCTTAGCTTATACAAAGACATTGTACATATATAAACTATAAAACACAATCGAGGTATACAAATATTGGTAAACAATAAGTTTTTATTTTATATTTTATTTTTATTTTATATTTTATTATTTATTTTATTAGCCTATCCTTTGATCATAAATTAATTGTTAGTGGGCAGCACATGAAAGCAGAGTGAAATAAGTGGATAAAAACACTGTGAACACTGATCATATGGCAGTAATTTTACATCTCTATTTCCTTTATAGGCGGAGAAATAAAATATTTACCATAATTATGGTGCCGTTTGATCTCTCTTGGCGATCATGTTTTGATTGACATCGTCTGCCATAAGGGAGAGTTGGTAGTCTTTGTTTATATGTCATCAGGTGTGGTTATTATGATTTATAATGGATTGAATTCGCTCATTTTTTCAAGAGATGATGTTTGGATTATATTAAGAAAGAATAGTATTGACATAGCGCCCCCGAAAGTTACAAAACTACTGAAACATTTAGATCTCGCTATTCTGAGCATTTTGAATCCTATATATACTGTACATGGCAGAAATGGATATTAGTGACACAATTGAATTTAATTGATTTTAAGTAGTTTTCAGTCTTCGTCTGTGAGGTGATGTTATCGGCGCATCACGCATGCTCAATGTTGACTGACGTCATCCAGTCGTGACCAATGAGGTATCGATATCATCACGCAAATTTTTTTCAAAGGAAGGATCCTGGGTACAATTTTAATTTCATTGACCAGTTTCACAATGGCCTTGGTGGAGGTTGGTTGTCATTTGTGCTCCTACGATTATTTTAAGTTTATTGCCAAGTTTTACGAGAAAGACGATCATTCTATCCTATTCTTACATACCCCTGGTCCTTCCACTTTTAGCTAAGGTATTGTACTTTCGGACATGGCGTGCCCCAAAGTTTTTAACTACTGAACCATTTAGGTTAGTTTAAGCTAGGCCTACTGGGGGTATGGGGGCGGAAACCCTGGCTAGGGGTCAGGTTAGGCCTACCGGGGTCGGCTATGAGTTAGGTTAGTTTTTGTTAAGTCAGATGACTCGTTTTAGTTTTTCCCCACTCAAAAACCCTGATTTTCCAGGCTCTCCCCATTATTGTTTGGGGAAGGGGGGGGGGAGAACTTGCAATATCTGCCAAAAATGAAGGTCAGATTTGTTTAAAACACACCAAAATACACTGGACTCATGTCCTTAAGTAAAAATTTACCGAAAGAAAATCAAAATGACAATGCACAGGTTAGGAAGTTAAGGGAGATTAAGTAAATTATGTAGGTTAGGTCAGGTTCTATTAGGTTTTATGCATTTTTGCTTCCATTTTTGTGTTCAGTATCATGCAAATAGTATCTCCAGAAATTTTAGTTTGATTTCTTAAGTTATTCCTTAAGTTACCATTAAAACTAAGTACCTGTACGGTATATCATTGACAATCCCATAAAATTTAATAGAAATAAGGTTACAACTCACTCCTGAACACTTAATATTTTTTGTTTTCTGTTGTGAGTGATATCCTGGTATTTACGTGTTGATGCTTTTCAGGTTGTTGACCGAAGAGAGGTGAGAAGTTGGACAACAAAGAGCTGGCACCCCTTCACCTCCGCTGCTGTCCGTGACCCAGTATCAGACAATGTTGTTGCTGTCATCAAAAACACAAACATATCCCAGTGGAGTCATGCTGAAGATGACATTGACAAAGTTAAGAGGCGTAGTGTAAGTATGTCCTGAATGGCACAATTGATGAGCTTTACACCACGCTTTAAGAATCATCCAAATGTTCATTTGTGTTTCAGAGAGTGTCTGGAGAGCTATTCTTAACCCCTTGTGTCTGGGGTCTCATCTGAGCTGAATAAAATTGTTTGACGTTAACCAAATAAAATATCAAAAGTGGCATTGCCGTAGTGAAGGGATTGGTGGAGATAATTACTAACCCCCTTGTGTATGGGTCTCTGCTGACCTGCAATGCTCTAACACACAAAGAAATGTTTGTTCCCATTATGGTTTTGAGCTTATGTTACTTATTTCTTTTATTTTATTTTTTGCACATTATGTATGTATGTAACTGAGTATTTACTTTTTGTTATTTACAGTTTGAAACGTCAATTCATCAGTTGTTGGTCAGTGGAGATATTGTTTACATTGTCTTTACTAGTGGTCAAGTTGAGGAACTAACCACTGCACTGAATTCTCGAAAGGCTCCCAAGCCAGGATTCTTAACAGAGGGAGAGTCCATCAGCTATGTGGAGATCATCAAGGATGCTAAGCGCATTGTTATGGTGGTGGAGAAAAAGGTGAGAAAATGTGCTCTGCAATTCATGTTTGTTTTTTTTAACTTATTTACCTAATGGCTGCCTAAACTAGAGGTGACCATGCCGAGGGAAGAAGGCTGTCTAATTACATAAGAAATCCAGGTAATTGTTATATTAATCAGCAAAACACTTATTGACAGCAAGATTGAATTATGTTTAGTTGGTGTAAATGTGGAAATGGAATACAGTGTAAACTAAGGATTACAATGGAGGTTCTTGTGGCCAGGGTTTCAGCCTATAGACTTACTGGTTATATAAAGCTGTTCAGTACAGACTTGGTTACAAAATGATATTTCACTTTCAATTCCCTATTTTGCCAGAATGAAATTGAAACTGAAATTAAGATTTTCTGATATAGGATTTGACATTTTCTGGAAAAGAACATCAATAACTTGTTGCATACAGAAATAGGGAGAAAACAGTTCATGGAATAATGGTACACTGACCTTGAACTGTTTTTTATTTGTCTAAAAGGAGTAACACTACTAGTAGGCTTTATAGTGTTTTATAACTTTGAAAGATATATGTTACCAAAAACAAGGAAGTTCAGTTTTTCCTGTCATACAGTATGTAGTATAGATACAGTCTCGACAAGTTAGTATGGTGAAGTTGTTGTATGATTGATTTTAAGGGGAATTGTTGTTATAGATTTTATTTCACCCAATGCTTCTTGTCATTTCCAGGATGGTTCCCTCAAATTGTTTCACCTACAACTGACTGACTCTGTCTCGATGGCCTCCAGTAGTTACAGTTTAGCATTGAAGGATGCCAGACTCACGGGAATCTGCGCCCTGTCATCTTCTAAGCTCATTACTATATGTATGTATAACAGTTGATATATTGTGAATTTATTTGTAATATTTTCTAAATACTAAAATGATACTAAATTAAATCAATACTGTTCTCTGTATACTGTATTAGAAAATCAGTGAAGGTTTATTGAAGAAATTACATTGAATGCTTAGAGTTGGAACAAAGAACCATAGTAGTTTTAATAGACAATATAGGGTACTGGTAAAGATATTCCAGTTTACCATTCTAGGCTGGTAGAGAGTTGCATTTTCATTTTATTCATTCACCTATTTTCTCTTCAGGGTCTACAGGAGAACTGTTCTGCTTTGATCTTCGGAAAGACAATCTTGAGAAGTTACCTGGACAGCACCTTGTACAGGAGAAATGTATAAACACTTCCAAAAATTCAAAGATATTGGAGTTATCAGCAACCCATGTAGCTATTTTTGGCTTGGATAAAAGAGATGAAGGCAAGTGTGTGCTAGATAGTTGTTAGCTTAGTGAAAGTCTTTGTGTATCTGTCTCTCATGTTTTCTCCTCCTCCACTGTTATTATGTGAGGTGAATTGAGGGTTACAGAAACTTCATGAAAGGAAGGAATTTGTATAAGGGAGCAGTGCAAGACATGTAGAAAGTGACACGGAAGGGGTGACACATCAAGTACAGTGTAAACTCTCCACACACACACACAATTCCCCATATCCTGAGCTTATATTTAGATTATTTATAACGGATCTTTTAATCTGTCTTCATGTCCAGTGTTGTATGTGTAGGGGCTCCCCTCTGAGCTGACTAAAATTGTCTGCCGTTAGCCAAATTAAATATTCTAAGTGGTGTCCCTGTAATGAAGGGGTTGATTCCCTTTTGCAGACTGAATTATCAGGTTTATTCTTTGTTAACACTCTCACACACACATACACAAAATAGCTACACTGCATAGTCCATAATCATCCTTGTAGCATCATCTAGCACAACACCACCAGACCTCACTAAGTCACCAAGCTTCTCTATTTCAATCATTCTTGTGGCTCTTACAGTATGTCCAAAATAATTCTAACCAATTCCTCCTCTGCCATTTGTTCCTTCAGTTCATACCACCTTAGTGCCCTTTCATCCATTTAGCTCTTGAAACTTTTTGACTCTGCATTGTATTCACCTTAAACATTCTTTTCCTGCATACTTCATCTCCATATTTTACCATTGTCTCTAATTCTCCCTTATCAAGGCATAATATATGATACGTTAAGTTATTCCCCACTTTTTTTTTCATTATATACCTGTATATGTTCGGTAGTATTTTCTCATGTCATGCTATAAAATTATTATGACAAGATGGTCTCATGTTCTGCAGGTGGATTGTTAGTTCTTCGTGACATAAAATTTGATGTGGTCACCAGCAGCCGTAAACTGAAGATGTACCAAAATCCGCCTCAAGCTTGGGTCTCATCAGAGGGTGTGATAGTTGCTGAGGGTGGATCCTTAGCTCTCATCCCATTTATTGTTCAAGAGTCCAACCTGGCTACTGTATTTGGTTCCAAAGTATCAGGTGGGTCCTCAACTTCCAGGTAAACTTTTTGTCACACTATGGAGCAGGGTGACCCGAGCCATTACTGTACCAACACACACTTTCCTTTCATTTCTGCAAATTTTTTCTCTGCTTTATTAAATATATACAGTCTATATATATATATGAGGTGCGATCCAAAAGTTCCCGGACTGGCTTCATAAAATCTTTAATTTTCAAGATATTACAGTGAAACTTTAGTTGCCCTTAAAATATTCTTCTGAGGCCTCAATGCAGCGCTGAATCCCCTCCTCCCACTTCTGGAAGTCCTTGTTGGTGAGGCTGGAGAACACCTTCTGCGATGTGTCCTGGATCTCCACTCTGTCCATGATCTTCTTCCCCTTGAGGTTCAACTTGAACTTCGGAAAAAGCCAGAAGTCACAGGGGACCAGATCTGGAGAGTAAGGAGGGTGGGGGGCCACTGGGATGCCATGCTGTCTCCGAAGTTCAAGTTGAACCTCAAGGGGAAGATCATGGACAGAGTGGCGATCCAGGACACATGGCAGAAGGTGTTCTCCAGCCTCACCAACAAGGACTTCCAGATTTGCTTCCAGAAGTGGGAGGAGGGGATTCAGCGCTGCATTGAGGCCTCAGAAGAATATTTTAAGGGCAACTAAAGTTTCACTGTAATATCTTGAAAATTAAAGATTTCATGAAGCCAGTCCGGGGACTTTTGGATCGCACCCCGTATGTATGCTGTTTCTATTGTATGTAAATACTCACATATGCTCCCTTCATTTGCTTTCATTTAATTATTTTTATTGTTGTGATTTATGATTTTTGTATTGTTATGTTATTCCCCTTCCATAACAAACCCCCAAACATCAATCTGGTTTACGTCTATTGCTTCATATAACCGAGCTTCACCCATCAACACATGTCCATCCCCCAAAATAATATGATCAGGTATAGTACATGCTAGTTTACCTTTCATTTGCCTGCATTGGTTTTCCCTATTGGTTTATAAGCTGAAAGTTATTTACTCTTCATTGTGGGAGGAAGACAATGGACCTCATTGTTCTCCTTGTTAGATTAAGGAAGTTTTGGATTAGAATTACCGAGTTACTGTATTTAATTAAACAAATATTTCTTCTTAATCATAGATATAGATGTAGAGTTTCCAGAGTCAACACTTTCAAATAGACAAATTGTTTTAGGTGATGAGACTCCACACACGGGCCACACCCTGAGAGTAAAAATTACCTCCAGTATTTTTAGCCTTATTGAGAGGAATGACCCTAAAACCCACTGTATTTGCCACTTTTCTTCCTTTCAGAAACACGTGGAACTTCGTCAGAAGCTTGTCATAGCTGGCTAGAAAACGACTCCACGAACCAAATAGTGCCAAAGGAAGCAATGGACACTATATTCTGTAAAATGAGCAAGGAACTAAGTGAAATAGTTCAAAGTCTAAGTAGAGGAGCCTTGTCTGAGAGTTTGTGAGTATTCCTAGAAGTTCAGACTCAGAATAGAGGAACCTTGTTTTAGACTTCATTAGAATTATGTGGAGGTCAGACTCAGTACTGGAGCTAAGTCAGAGATCTTGTGATTATTACAAGAGAAAGCATTGAGAATATCCTTCTTATATCTACATTTTACAGTCATCTTTTTCTAAGTAGTAAATATTATATAAAATATGAATATTTTTTGTGGATTTGTTGATTTCCAAGTAATTTATGTTGAAATTGGTCATGTCTGCTGAATTGTGTAAATCCATTGTGAAAAGAATATAGAAATTAATATGATTACTGTATACATACTGCACAGAGTATCCCTGACTTACGAACGCCCGTCACTACAAACGGGGTTAAGCTTTAAATTTACAGTAGAGTATTTTATTTACCTGATGACTTATATTTTATGTTCATTTACTGTATTTTATCATTCTATTTCTTCTTTTCTCTTAAATTAAGTGACTTTAGGCAATGGTATAGTGGGATTTTAAACATTGTTCTGGAAGAACGGTATGCACATAGTATGTGTTCCGACTCATATGCATTTCCAACATAAGAACGTCCTCAGGAACGGAACCCTATCGTAAACCGGGGATTGCCTGTATAGTTAAAAAATCAATGCTGGGCCCTCAGGTTGGCCTCATACTCACAGCCTCTTGGAGGAATTTGTTTTGGGAGTTGTAAAATGTCTTGAAAGCCGTGAATGCAATCCCTTTAGTCCCATAAGTTAAAACCTGTTTTTATGAATTTGATCTAGCTTCCTACTCAAGATTTTCAAGTGTAATCCTCATAAATTATAAACAAGGACTTACTGATTTGTGATTGTTTTTGGTAATACAGTAGTAGTTGGAGTGAAGCCATACATGAAAACTGTTGGGTAAATTTTTCTTTGGGGATAAAGACCATTGGTACTGAAAGTATATACTTTTTTTAGATGTACTGTACTTGTACTCTACTGTAATAGATATTTTCACAGTTATTCTGACAAGTGACAGTCAATAGTGTCACCTCCACACACCCTCTGTCAGTCTATAAGACCATTTAGGAGGGCCCATGACTTTTTTTTGTGTTGAAATTCCATTCTGAAGAACCTCTGCTACCAATCATTAATTATACACCTTACTAGCACTCTGTGGAACTCCCTACTTCAGCATTTTTTTCAAATGTCATATAATCTCCACCAGTTCAAGTTATCCTCTTTCAGTTATCTTTAGTCTATGGCAAGGTGGACATCTTTGTGTATAGATTTTGCATTGACACTTTATTATTTAAAAGCCTTAACCAACCCCACGTAACCAAACAGTGATGAAGTTAACTAGGATTAAGTTGGGTCTGGGTGCTTGGTTTTGTTTATTGTAATAGAAGAGTGTGATATTGCAACTGCCATTCTCAAAAGCTGTGGAAGGAAATTTTCTGAAATGAAAGCCTTTAGTGTCTGAACTATGCACATGATGGGATTTTTTTACAATATTTTTTATTGTGGTACAGTATCTAAGAGTTTCATATTTTAGCTTTGTTTTTCATTTTCAGATTTGTATCCGATGTGGTGAGTCATATGATTGAGAAAAAGAAGCTGTTACTCCTGGATGAGGCCATGGATAAGTTCAGCAATATCCCTGAAAGTTGTCTTATCGATGTCCTCAATTTGTATATGCTGTGTAAAGACATGGAGTTTGAGGAACTCTGCAAATATCCTATCCTGCAGATGGAATTTGAACCCTTGGAAGAAGATACAGATAGTAAGTGTTTTGTAAATGTTTAATGGTGAATTATTAGTGTTTAAGCCATGCACCCTTCATTTGGCTATTATCTATTACTATAATATTATCAGTTTTAGTAACTAGTGACGCGAAACACTCGTCTCCGGGCAGTAATGAGGCGGAAGTCAAGCCCAGGATTAGCCATGCTCTGTATTTTTATTTGGATCATTTTATACTATAGCTTTTCATGGTGAAGGAATTTTAAGGTTGGGTAAACACTAAATGCAATCTTTAAGACTGGAATACAAATTTTTTTTTATAGAGAATTGTCAAATGATAAAATTTTAGGTGAAAATTTTTGGAGGACAAATGTCTACCCTGGCCTAAAAGTCCACCCAGTAGAGAGTACAGTATTTTGTACTAACCATCAATAGTAATGGGACACTCTGAAGTCATGGGTCTGTGGATGATGTAGTAATCAGTGCTGTCCATAACTTGAGAAATAATATTTTCTTATGTTTGAGGAATGAATATAAATTACAGTATATAATTTGAAATATTTTACCATATATATTGCGTATTGAAAGTTTGAGCTAGAGTGTGCGGAGTATTTCTGCTTTTTTGTTTCCATTCTCTTTTCATCTCCTTTATATATTTGTCTCCATATTCATCATGCACCAGTCGTCTCTACTGTTTCCTTCCTTTCTGGAGTGTTCTGTAGCCCATTATCCTCCCACAGAAAGCTGTTAAAACACTGGTAGATTCAAGTGTCACCAGAATATTAATACTGTATTTACTTATTTGGAGCTATAGTAACTTTTTTTTTTTAAAGATTTATGGTAAAGTTTTAAAACAAAAATCTTACTCTGAAATGCATGTACAGTACATAAGAAACATGAGTAAAAAGTGACTACAGTACAGTAGGGTCGGGATATATCGCGAGATAGTGTCCAATGATGTTAGCTAAGTACTAATCACGATATATTACACGTAATCAATGGGGAAAATAGGGTTAGGTTCCGGAGGCCCAAAAAAGTGACTAAACTTGACTTAACGAGTTTATTTTCTTACTAACTAAAGCACCAATGAACACTAGACTCAGGAACAACAGGCTATTTCAATATCAGTATCAAGGAACACCAGACTCGGCAGCTGACACACCATCTTGGGAACACCAGACTCGACAGCAGACGCCACACTGCCACCCTCACTTGACAATCCCACACCTACATAAACGAACACCAAAAATATTAGTTACAGTATTAAATCTTTTCCATTAAGCTTTCCATTATCCTCACTTCACTTTTCACGTCACTAGCAACCAATTTACACTCACCTTAGAAGTCGTAATCTGCAGCAGAGTCGGCTGCTTTCTCGTCACTCACTCAGAAAGATTGAGTGGGCGAGCGTGAATGCGTGAGTGAGCAGCCACGGTGGCGCCTCTGGTGAGCAAATAACTCATTTTTTGCCATGGAGGTACATTTGAAATATTTCCTGCTTGATTTCCCTCGCGAAATAAAAAAAATCGTTGTATAAAGTCGCGATATATCCCGACCATACTGTTCTTGTACGAATCATCCTAGGACACTACCATAGCTATACTGTATAGTAGTCACCGATGAAAAGGTGATGATGTATTGTTACAAATATGAAAAGAGAAATGAATTCAGTATTTTTTTTTTTTTCAGAAATCAAATGTCCATTTGGCTCTGGCAAGGCACACTTCATAAATGGCATTTTAAACAAGCCCTTCACAGACGTCCAGCTGCTAAAAGATTTGCCCAAAATTTCTTTTGATAATGCTCTCAGTCTCATTCAGTATCTTCATTATTTAATAACAACTGGTGAAGTAAGTTTTATAGATAAAAAGTGACTCTCCATAAGTTTTGTAGGTTCTTATATTATTATGGCAATTTACTTGTCTTGCGGCTTTGTATTAATTACTGGGTGTGTTTCTCTTGATGTAGGAATGTAAGTGTTATTATTTACAGCTTCACATCACTCTGGGGAGACTAATGTGTAGTACCCATCAAGTGTGTGGGTTACAACCCAGGCTAACCCCCAACATTTACAGCAGCTAGTAAACAGACAACTAGCACACTTCACCTGTGATAACTGTAACTGTCATGGATGGGTCTAGTGAGGCAAACAAGTCTTAGCATTGCTGCAGTACAAACAATATTTTCATGGCAAGCTATTGGTGATATGGTCATACAATACAGACAACTGGTTCTGAGGATTTTATGATTTCCTGGGTCATCCATCTGTTGCCACTTCATCAAGGTTTGCTAACACACACTCACAGAAACTTGGCTGAACATTTGTTAAGCTACTTTAAATAACAATATAAAGAAATCATTATTGTATGCACTATTTTAATACAAATTATTAAATATAGTCTTTATAGAAGTGAGATTTCCCTAGGCAGGCTTACATAGCACCAACATAAGCTTGCTTGTGTTTGTTTACATCCCAGCAGCTTTGTGTGAGTTGTGAGACATTTTCAAGAAATAGATTTCATGAATAGTTAGTATTGCCTGATTATTGCTTTAATTATATTTATTTATATTAGTTTTTGTTAATCAAATACTAGTACAGTTATTGTGCTCACTTGCTTTTGAATTTATTATTGGTCAAATTAAACAAAAGATTCAAGATTATAGTTACCTGGTGTTGCTTTTTGTTTCATACAGATATATGATATATGCAGTCTTACAATGGAACAGTGTTGGTTGATGGTCCAGCCACAGGATATTCAAGGGTTGATGGTTCCTTGTCAGTAACATTAGCACTCCTCTCAGCTACTTTCTTGAAAAGAATAGTATACAGTACTGTGTGTGGTAGCAAATGTTTTGTGAAATAGGTAGTGAAACAGAATAGGTGTACATTATTATTTATTCTATATACTGTATGCTTGTGTTTTATTCTCTGCCTTTATTCTTTATTTGTTGCAACATCCTGCAGTCTACGATATACACCACTGAGTCTTTCACACTTCACATTATTGAGTTGCTTCCAACATCTTTCAAACACTTCACATGACCATTTTCCCCATTTCACCACTGGTTCCAGACTTGTGCCACCAATCAGTACTTTTGTTTTGGCCACATCACTCTCAAGCCCTTTAACTATTCTATCCTTTCATTTCTTAAATTTCTCCACTGCCTCTGCAATACTATCAGCTATCATCTCGTAAGTCAGCAGCATACAACAATTCTCAGGCAATCCAATTCTAAAGTTTTGTTATCAACAAAAGGGAATTCAATACACATATAAACCTTTGGTGAACCTCTGCTGTTACCTCAAAGTCCTCTATTCCTACCTATAAATCTATAATACATGAATTCATTATAACTTCATGATAAAAGATTATTTTGACATTGCTTGTGCAAAATAGGTGCACATGTTCTTCCTTTTTATTTTCTCTTCTCATAACAGAATTCTCTTCTTACTGACTTTCAGGCAGAGCAGATTCCAGCAGAAGATGTGCGAGTACCATCACTGCACCAGGCTAGTTATTGGCTCAGCTTGCTGCTTGATGTCAACTACCACCAGTTGGTTATGACTTCTGAAGTCAGCATTCACCGTCTCCTCCTCTCCTGCTTCACTCAGGTCACAAACATGGTTAGTTTATTGTGTATATTTGTAACACTTTGCAGTACTGTAGACTTCCTAACTCAAAAAGACACAAATTCCATTCCATGGCTCGACAGGGTTGGTGTGCATTATTTTCTGTAAGTGTGCACTAAGTTGGTAACTTGCTGCAACAGGGCAACAATCTAAGCTACCTTACATGTTTTGGAAAAGAGCCTAAAGCATGAGAATGCTTTATTTCTTTATTTTTTCTATCAAAGTTAAAATGAACAAAAACACCTACAAGTGACTTTGACCATGCACGGGGTATAATGACAAAGAACAGTAAAGTGTGAATGAAGCAATGATCAATGAAGGGAACCTGGATGTCTTGGCTTTGAACAAAAAAAAAAGAGTTGTAGGGTAAAAAAAAAAGTCTGCTGGACAAGGGAAGGACATAAACTTAGGAGTACATATACTGTGTCTGTAAGATTGGAAGCAAAATAATGTGAGACAGTGTTAATTAATGATAAAAGGTAAAGTTGCGTGATAGAATACTATGCAAAGGAGTCGGTACTAGGATTTCTAGTGTTTGAAGCAAATAAGGAACATGGGAAGTTTATTATAATGACATGATTTAATTATTATACTGTAGAACCTTAATCCTGATTGAATATTAGTTTGTCTAGTCTTTAGTTATGGTAACAAGTAGTTTTTTGATTTTCGATATTAAAGTTGTAGTTTGTAAGTAGTTATAGTACCATAGTAGGAGTAGTTGCTGAGGGTCATATGACACTGGTAGTCCTCATACACCACAAGGGGTCTGTATGTGAAAGTTTGTGTGACGTGTGATATGTGAAACCAATTTTCTCGTAAAAAACAATGTCACGTAAGTTCCAAGTTGTTTGATTGGCTAATGTGTGTCGTATTTTTATATTTTTTTTTACAGTGACGTACCATTTAGAGATAAGAGCAGTAGCATTGCACCTAGTGGTAAGAGACCCCACAAAGCCATCACTTATTAAGTTGACGGTGATAAAAACACAACAAGGCTGGCAAAAAAGATGAATTCCATCAGTAGAGTTTTAGGACTATCTTAGTTGACTGTGGTGACTGTGAAACAATTTTTTTTCTTTTAAATTATTGCCTAGGTGTACTCCATGGCATCACTGTAGAGAAATGTTACTAGGTTCAGAATGATGATGGTGATGCATTTTGTGTTCTCGCAAATCTAATTGTCAGAAAACCTTACGCTGGGGAATGTGAAAATAGACCAAACTTAGGACTGTAAGCATTAGGTTATGATCAACATTTATTATTTTAGGAACCTTCATTATATTTAACTAAGCACAACCATAATATATAAAGGTAATTTTAGACAGTTTGAAGAGCTTACATCATTGTTACTGCATCCACCATTTCTCATCATCATTGTCATTTTAGGTAAATTGATATGCACACTTTAAATTTTATTTTATTTATTATTGCCTTGAATCAAATTTTATTTATTTTTTATTTGATTCTTTTGTGTTGTGATGATGATGATTGCCATGCATTACATTTCTTACTTATGCAGTTATTGGAGAGAAGTTACCCAAAGGGTAGATTTGTGGGGACTGAAAATGGTACAGTATTTGTGGAATTTTATATTTCTGGAACCTGTTCAACATGAATAACAAGGATTAAGTGTAATTATTATTACAGGAGTACAGTATATTATTATTATTATAAATGACACCACCTTAAAAATACTCGGTTGAGGGACTCACCATGATGGTTTGTTTACTCTGCTGAGACTCTGGTGTATGTTTATTTTCTGACATTTTTCTCTCATTATGATATTGGTTTTGATGTATTGTTAGGCTCTATTAATGCACTTATTTAGGTTCTTCATTTGATGATAATGTTGGTTTCTATGATTAAAATAAAAGTGTACTGTATATTATAGGACATTACCGAGTCTATTTACAGTATATGACAGTGTACTTCACGTGTAGGTCTTCAGGGTTAAAGTTTGGATGGTTCAGGGACATATCCTCTATTGTACCATATTATAATGGGCTCATCAATCACAGCCAAGAAACATATCCCCCAGTATTGGGGAGGGGGACCAGTCCATTCACTATTACCACTCGTATGATATTAACCATTTCACTGCAACGCATTAATTAGTCAGGTTATCCTGTGTATGGACATTTTCAAGAAAAAATCTATTAATACTGTACTATACATATTTAAGCTTGGTAGAAAAATACTTACGTATAATACAGTACAGTCGTATTTTTGCTCATCGGGCACGCACACCAATTTTAAACCACATGATGTATATGATACAGCCGCAGTGGTCAGGAAATATGTTACTGTATCGTATATGATACAGATGTAGTAAAAGGGTTAAAACAATAAGCATGTAATAATGTAAGAATGCATAAGAGGATTATTTAAGTTATGGTAATGAGTGATTTATGGAGAGGTGTGTGCAGGTTCTCCCTCTCGTGGTTGGCCATCAACTGACCTATCTCAGTCCAGCCAGAAGGTTCTCACGCAATAATTGGATATTTTGGTTTAAAAATTAGATTGATAAATTGAGGCCACCTGTAGTTGTAAAATTTCTTCTCTGAAGAACTCAATGATATGCAATTATTTTATTGTGCATATTTCTTTTGTCTTTCAAATTGTCCTATTCATTATGGTAGAGCTTCATTACTTTGTCTTCTCATCTTCACCATCATGGCTCTCTGCCCAATTAAATTACTACCATTGAAAATATTCTTCACTTATAAGCTTAATTCATTGCTTATTCAAATGTGGCACCATGAAGAGTTTGGTACCTGCCCATGTTGTGTTCCCATGGGCTGAGTCAACTCATTACTTTATATGGTCTCATCAGCAAGTTTACTCCAGGGATGCTAGTCGTGGGAAAGGGTTCATGTTTTTCCAAGGAAAAATTTGTAAGACTGTACTTTTATTTATTTTTGTTTTTGTTTTGTTTTTTGCCATTTTTAGTTTGTGATTTAGGGATGCATATTAAAGCACTTTTTCCAGAGTACCTGTACATTGATCTCATTTTTTATTCCTTGATGAAAAGAAGCAAAAATTAATATTTAATAGTGTTACATAAAAAGGGGAAGGAAGAAGGTGGTTGATGGAAATGAAAGAGGAAATTGGACAAAGACACATTTTAGAAGAAAACTACAGTAGCTTGTACAGTATTAGGATGAGATGGGCAGGACAAATACAGTAAATTGAGCTGAGGGATTGGCAAGGGGGTGGAGGTGAAGGCTGGGGTCTTGGGTAATGCTGTTACTATTAATGTCAGGAGGCAGGAGGTTCACTAGAGGTCATAGGAGAGCAGGAGCTGAAGTAGGAAGAAGGGTGTATTAAAGAACTGGTGAAAGTTTCCTGTATGAAGGTGGCTATAATCCTTGGTAAGTTTGATAGACGACTCTCCTCTCTCCATCCACTAACACTTTTGTTTTAAGATCAAGAGAAAATTATTTCAACTCTTTGTAGGTCTGAATCTTGCTGGGTAACTATGATACTCTTAGGTTTCTTACAGGAGCAGACAGAGTTTAATCTTTTCAAGATGAAAATCAATACAGATATTGTCCATATTGAACCTAGTACAAAACCAGCTGGTAGACTGAAAACCAAAATAAACACTAGTTTCTGTATAGTGAGGTGACTATATTCCTTGTTCTTGCAGCAAGATGATTGAGTGCTTCTGAGGTTTTTATGAGCCAATGTCATTGTTATGTGTCATCTTTTCCTGTCAATGTATTTCTCCACAGCGCAAGTTTCTCGAAGGACTGGTGGATACGGAGCATTTGTTTGAGCGGGTCATCAAGGCAAAGAGTCTGTCCAAACAGTCGGAAGGCTACGGAATGTACACCCTTGAGCGTCTGGTTATTACATAATGCCCTATCACTTCTTCAAGGACAGTACAATACAGCATTACCATCACATCATAAGGGAATTATTTCTTACTCCTATGTTTTAAAGAAAGAATTGATATCAGGCATAAGTGAACTGGGTTAATACAGGAATTATTTGAGGTTTGCTTTTGATCGAGAACATTTGTAGGAGACGACATAAGAACATAAGAATGGAGGAAACTGCAGCGGGTCTATTGGCCCATACTGGGCAGCCCTGTTTAATATGGGCTAATAGGCCCACTGCAGTTAGTGTACCTCCATTCTTTTGTTCTTATGTATATAAGTCTCCTACAAATGTTCTCAATCAAAAGCTAATATAAAATAATTCCTGTATTAACCCAGTTCACTTAGACAGTTGTAAAGTTTTTATGTTTGTTATTTCTATGAAGTCTTTAATGAAACTGTAGATATAATACCAAGATATGTCCTGAATGTTAAGACTGTACTGTACACTTTATTTTATATAAAATATACAATACTACTGAAAATATTTCAATAAAAATTACAATATCATTAGTGAGTTCTTTATAACCTTGTGTATCATCATCATCATCATTTTAGACATTTTCCACATTTGTGTCGGTTAGCCATGATAACCTGATGGTATGTGTCCCATTCACCATCAGGCAATTATGAAGCACATTTTATGACAATGTCCTTCCTATCACAAACCTGCATTTACAGAGACCCTCTTAACTGGCAAGGGCAGGGTCTCTACTCCCTGCTTCCCTGAGTCTCTCTCTCATTGATTACTACAGACAAGAATAATACGCCTTGAATGCGGCTATGACGCCTTGGTCCATAGGCTGCATCAGTGATGTCATGTTGGGAGGCAGGAATACAACTTCTACACTGTCATGCAAGTCGTCGAAATTGGGAGGATGAGCTGGAGCATTGTCAACGATCAGAAGAATTTTGAAGTTAAGGTTCTCTTTGGCACAGTATTCCTTCATTGCAGAGACGGCATGCACGTTTAACCACTGGCTAAATATGGTGCCGGTTATCCTTGCCTTTTTGTTTGCCTTGTAAATGACAGGAAGGTGGTCCTTAGAGCAACCTTTCAGGGCCTGTGGGTTAGCAGTGCGAGAAATCAGCAGAGGCTTCAGCTTGAAGTCGCTGGCAGCGTTAATGCCAAGCAGCAGTGTCAAGTGGTCTTTTACCGCTTTAAAACCTGGCGCTCTTTTCTCCTCCTTGGATGAGTATCCTCCTTCCTGGTTAATTCGTTTGAATTCTGGCGGGAATGTCTTGGCAGCAACCGTATCTGAACTGGCAGCTTCACCAGTCATCTTAATATTGTGGAAGTAATACCTGTGCTTGAATCATTGAAACCAGCCTCGGCTGGCTGTAAAGGTCTCTTCCTTCGATCCTTCACTCTCTTCTTCTTTTATGTCGTCAAACAAGGATCTGGCCTTATGCTGGATAACCATAAGGCTCACAGGCACGTTGCATTGATTCTGGTCCTCCATCCACATAGCCAGCATTTTTTCCACTATTTCTATCACAGTACTTCTAGTACGAGTTGTTTTAGTTGCACTGAGAGTAGTACCACTTCCAGCATAACCTTAATCTTGTCAGCGTTGGTCTGGATAGTACACACCATTGTGGGTGTTAGACCAAGCACAGCGGCTATGTCCACAGCACGTTCCCCTTTTTCAAATCGGGCTAATACATCCATTTTTGTAGCCAGGGTAATGCTACTTGATGGGTGCTTGGAAGCCATTTCGAATGGTTATAGTACAGTTTTAGAGCAAAAGCACTTAAGCACACACAAATGATGTGAAGTCGTAACAGAGACTGGCTTGGGGACGCTTTGACGTTCAGCGAGTGAGGGCAGCGTGCTGGGCCGAGAGAGCGTAGCGTGGAAAGACAAGAGCGGGTGATGCACCGTAGAAAGTAGTTCGTGACGACGCTAAATGACGTAGTATCGGATCACCGGGATGTTAAACGAATTTTTGGTCTCTAAAGTTTAGCGACGTAGTACCAAAACAACGTTAAGCGGGACGACGCTATACGAGGATGCACTGTAATTGCCTGACTCTACTGTATACGTATTGCCTTCAACTGGCCGTCAGGTTTATGGAACACTCTTCTGTGCTGTATTAATGTAAACCTTGGATGAAGTAGTTATACAGGGTATTATCGTGAGTAGTAGTAGTAGTTGTGATGGCAGTGGTAATGGTAATACTTGTTGTAGTAGCACCTAGTTTAGCAGTAATCTCTTGTCTCCAAGTCCGCCTTGGCTCTCATCAATTCCTAAAACTAATTTTGTCATTATTAGGGACGAGGTAGTGTGTTGCATCAGCTCCCTTTTATGGCAAATCTCTCAGCACTGAAGGGAAAATCATGTCCAGTTTAAATTTTTACTTGATCCAACCTGTCTCATCCAAAGGCTGTTAGGTGATTCCCTCAGATACATTTATTAAATTTGATGATAAACATATAATGACGAAATTTTTCAATACAGTAATACTTTATATATTTCATGAATATAAACGATTTGTTGATTTGAGACAGCTTAACAACACAAGTCTGAGAACTATTACTGTACTGTTTTTGGCTATTAGAAAATATGTCCAGCTGAATCACATAATTAACATACAGCTACTCTTGTTTTGACAGAAAAGTTACGGTTTGTTCTTCGAACACTTGGTCCAGGACGTATGGTGGGTGAGTGTGTGTTGTTTTTCCGTATTTTCAGTAGCTCTCAATTATTGTAGAGTGTTGAGTGTGTCACAACTCTCGGGTGTTTGGTGCTAGTTATAGCTTGAAATATACCGTGACATGGGGTTTGCATTATTCCCTTGAGTTACGTAAATTTTGACTTAAATCTAACCTTGGCGGGAATGGTTAATGTTTCCCACAAGATTATGACTATATAATGGACCACTTATGATAGAGGCGCCACATGTGAGAACCATTTTGTTTTGTGGTTCATTAATGGTGGGTAGCTGAAACTTCTCTCGTGGGTTCACAATGAGAGCCTGTTAGTTTTAGTCTATTTGTTATAACATTTCATGGTGCAGGTTTTCAGTAGGGTAAGCACTAAAGGTGATCTTTAAGAAATGATATTTATTAAGAAAGAACTGATATAGAGATTTTAGGTGGAAATTTTAGTACAGGCGCCGTAGCACGAGGTGTGAAAGATTAAAACTCAATGCCTTCCAACCGTTGAGCTACAGAACACTTTGCTGTCCCACTTTGGTTTATTATACACCACCAGCTGAATCAAACAAGTATGGAGGTAAAAAGTAAAACACATTGACAGTTTATCTTAATAGTATTTAATATGGAAGAAGATTCAGCTCACCTAAAAGTGTCAAACTCAAAACCTTTCGAGGGCCAATTCTTATTTTAGTTACCCTCTTCTCGGCCAACACAAGTGCTATATCACATATTTGCAGGATTGAAGTTAATAGCTTCACACATTGCCTTACCAGGAATACCTCATTTGGGTTTGTACTCATCTTAAGTATGTAAAATTATTTTACTTAATAAACATGATTAATGCTAATAATAGGATAGCAAAAGGCATATATATGCATTACTTGCGGCTACAATTTATTATAGAATTCCATTTGTTTTGAAACTTAAGAGCTCAACTTAAATTCAGTTATTGCCACAATGATGTAAAGACCACTTCGGAATTTACTGACTCAATCATTTATCTGTGTTTTTTCCTTCATATCTATTTCTATCAAATTTCACGGACTGATAAATTTTACCGTCATCCCGCGAGCCATGAGTTTGACACCCCTGCGCGGCTACAATAAGCAACTTTGTTTTGAGTATTATATACATTGAGAATGTCATAAACCTTAATACTGTATTGGTCCCTCGTGGTAACAGACTCACTAACCTTTACAGCTAAAGGTTTGGATTAAGACTAACATGGATATGTTTACATATCAGAAAGCCTACTGTGAACCACTTAACCATCACAGTAGTATAAAAGTACAGAATGTAATTATACATGGATATTATATGTTTTTATTAGTTAATATACTCTTGTACGAAATTTATTTACAAAGATTCCACCAACCACTGACTGTATTTTCATCTTCCAAAACCTACAAGTAATCTTATCACTCGTCACATATAAATACCACCGAGCTGTACTGCAAGAGGCCAGTAGGACAACCAAGACGACAGTAGTGTTGAGTGATGGAAGAATGAGACTTGTCTAATGTACAGTCTAACGTACAGAGTATATTATGTGGATGGGGTCAAGACAACAGACATTTTGGTCTGAACATTATATTCACCCTTGATACTTCAGGGTGGACTCAACTTAATGTATCCCATGAAGATACAGGCTGTGTCTCTTGAAGCTGTGGGCTATGTATCTTTTGGGGCTGCAGACTGAGTATCCCTCGAGGCTACAGACCGAGTATCCCTTGAGGCTACAGACCGAGTATCCCTTGAGGCTGCAGACTGAGTATCCCTTGAGGCTGCAGACTGAGTATCCCTTGAGGCTGCAGACTGAGTATCCCTTGAGGCTGCAGACTGAGTATCCCTTGAGGCTGCAGACTGAGTATCCCTTGAGGCTACAGAATATCCCTGATGCTGTAGGTATATTATACCTTTATGCTCTGGGAATATTTTTCAGCAAGATAAGGTTAGCCATCTTTTGCGGATGTTTACTCCAGTATCAGCATTGGAGTTGCTCCCTAGAGAATTCGCCTTGACACTGCAGGCTGGCGAGCCTCGCGTACACTGGCATCCCCCTACAAGCTGCTGACGTGTCGGGAATGGAAATGCAGGCCGCGGGGGATGGAAAGACGGGTTGGTCAGTGGAGTTTACACGACCAACTTCTCCATCTCATTGGTTGCTGACAACCACCTGCACCGAAGTCGCCTCGATGATGCATGCAACGCCAGATCCACCGGGTGCCTACCAGTGAGCAACGGCCTCTTGTGTTTGGTCCCCTGCGTGGGCGTGGTCACCCGCAGTGGGTGTGGCTCACAGCACCCAGTGTGCATTGCGACTCACAGCCACACATCTGATCTTGATGGGTCCCCGGTACACGTGGTTACGGCGACCCGTCATCTTGTGACCCAGACACCGCTGGGCGATCATGTCTGCCTTCTGGCCCCGGTACACCTTGTCCGTGGTGAAGGTGACGGAGGCGCAGGCGAAGGTGCACAATTCACCGTTCCTGCCGTGAACGCGCTTTAGGGAGTATTCCTCCCCAACCTCACAGTCCATCACGCGAATATCAAAGGTCACAGGAACCCCCGGCCCGTCATCGTAGCTCCCACACTCGCACCCAGCTGGAAAGAAGAAACATTTTTAGTACAAGTGAATAACAGTATAAAATTAAATTTAATTACTCTACAGTGACATTGCAGATACACAAGTCCTTTCACAAAACTGCCAAAACCAGTCGCCATGAACAAAGAAGCTTTCGCCAAGCATGGCAGGTCAACCTTGGTAAACAGACTGACTGGTCCTCCTCGTGTGCTGAGATAGTTTACTCTTAATACATCTCACACCATTAATAGATTGCTCCTTCCGCACGCCATGTAGCCAAGTCCAACAGCGCATTAAGGACTAACCCAAAAGACAACGAAAACTGTTTGTTTGTTAACAATATCAGGAATATTGGTTACTTTCTGGGCGTCACACTACACAAGGCCAGGACACTAACAAGTGATCACATATTCTACTCTTGTGCAGGCTTGGGGTGGCTCAACATTTTCTAACCTTAATTTGTCCCACTTTGACCAATCCTGATGCTGCCAGTGTTGTTATTCCAGGGTTTAACTTAATTGACTACCTGTTTGTTACACTATCATCATCCACTCGTGATCCATGTGTACAGTTACTGCCAATTCCTAAAGCAAGATTTCTTTCCTACTTCGTATTCATACAAAATTACTACCATTTGTCCTTTATATGAAAATTCCCTTGATACTAACATGTCCCGAACCCGTACCTGAAGAAATAGTCAACAGTAACTAACAACTGTATTCATTGTCAATGACTCACCTGCGCTGGGTTGACCCTGGCTGAGTCGTTTAGACTTGGTGCCGTAGATGACGTACTGAGTATCATCCTCGGCAGCAATGGAACCTTGGAACCAGGTCCCCGCCTCGTCAAAACACAGGGTTGCTAACCCAGAGATTTCCACTTGAGGTCCTTCCATGTTGGTGAAACACATTGTTGGCTTAAGGACTTGGAAGGCAAGAGTCACAAGAACTATTTCTTGTCTTGAGGTATGATGCGCAGTGCTTGTCACTCCTACAGTGCTGCTCAAGTGAGGCACGTGGAAAGTTCCGTCTCAGGTACTGTTATTAAACTTGGGGAAATAATGTCCTCACAATCACTGTTGCTTTGATTAACAGAAACTTATATTTCTTTCTATTAGTCTTTAGTTAAAACTTCGAATGAATGCTGAATGAAGCACAAGTTATTTGCAAGAGATGTGTATCCTCCTTGCTGCTTGTGTGTGAACTGAGGAGCAATGTGGTGCAACCGCATTTATACAGTCTGTGAGTCCCACTGGCGCGCCCAACACACGCCGCTACACGAGGAGGCTGGGGCAGCAGACTAGCTCCGATTGGTCACTACCTGAATGACGTCAGAGCAAATCCGTCATGCCACTGGCTGGCTAGATGGCGAGTCAAGTCCTGCAAAGGAATGAAATAGTTAAGTGTCGTCAACAAAGACTCACCTGTGTTAAAACATGCGAGTCCGGGGAGGGAAAGGGTTGATTTCCTGTATAATTTTTTATTGTTTGTTGATAAAAGAAGTTATCAGAGCATGGAGGAAATTGTTGGTGAGTAAGCTGCAGCTAGTGCGCATTGGAGCATTCCAGTAAGGTGCAGACGTACAGTATATGTCACTTTCTCGCACTTTTTGCTCTAGCTCCGACGTCATCGACCGTGAGATCAGAACTTCCGTAAATACTACGTCTTTAATGATCATTAATTGGCACGTTTACAACTAGATGGACACACCCACCACTCACATGAATACACTTTTTATTCTATAATCGATACTTGGCTCATAGTAGCATCCCTCCCTCACACACACACACACACACCATAGAGTTCATTCAGTCGTTCCTCGTATCAAGAATAAAACACAAATTGAAAAAAAATCCCCAGATCACCTGAAGATTAGCCACCCCAGATAACTTCACCTGATGATTAAATCCCGGGGAGTGGGTTAGGTTAGATCAGCGTTAGGGTGGTTAATATGAAGGTAAATTAAGCTGGTAGGCTAATCTTCCGGTGAACAGTTTGTGAGACCTTGTATACGATAATGAAGTGTTGTAACCGCCGTAGTAATAAATTTGATGGTTTGTGAAGGTAACTGATAGCGCCCCTCGACCCGTAGTACACATGTTATTTGTCCCTTCAAATGCGTGTGTGTGTGTGTGTGTGTGTAGTAAACAAGTAATAACCAGTTTTACGCAGTTTAGTCTTGGGGTTATGTGAGTGTACGGCGAGGCTGGAGAAAGGGTTGACCAGGTGAGGGAGGGGAGAGAGGGAGTAGACGACCAGTTATTTCCAGTTTAGCTTCGCGCGTCACGAGACTCCACGGCACAACCCCACCCCTCTCCTCCCCCACTCACTTGTCACTCACTTGTCTCTGGAGTCAGATACAACCAGAATCCAGCTTGAAGATAACCAACCACAATAACTAGACCAGGATACCAACCCTAACACACCTTTAACTAAGCTAACCCGTAGCAAGGCGGTCTGCTCGCCTCCTTTTACCTCCTAAAGTTCTTCAATTTCCGAACTGTTAACTCCCCCCTCTCCCCCACCTCTAATCTTCTTTCATCTCCTTTCATCTCTTCTTCCTTTACACAGAGAAGCGTGTGTGTCTTGTTAACAGGGGTGTCAGGATCAAGATGCTGTGGATCCCCTCTCACATAGGCGTCAGTGAACATGATAGAGTTGATGCCTTCGCTAAACTCGCGTCCAACAATGACAATGTTGAGTACAATCTAGGACTGTCAAGCAGAACCTTAAAAAATGTAATCAGAAAAGAACTTGTTGATGAATTTGAAGCCAGTAGGCAAGTGCAAGCAGGCACTAGTCAATCCATTGTTTTCCATGATAAGATGTATCATGTAAAACATGTACGAGTTTATGGAACAAGTAACAAGATCACTAGATTACAAGATGTTGTAACCGCTAGACTAAGGTTAGGATATAATCACCCCTGGTAGTATGCCCCTCAGGCAGATGTGAACAAAACTAAATGTAAAGTGTGTGGCCAGACATATGGCCACACACTCCAACACTACGTCTTAGACTGTTAAAAAATAGAACCTTATAGAGATAGGTCCAAGCACACTGTGTATGTAATGGCACAGCACTTTATCTCTGATGACAAGATAGCTGATATACTCAGGCTACATCCACACACTTCGCATCTAGTACCTAAACAATGTACTGGAAACACTCTGTAACACCCAATACCACAGAATAAGTAAGGGGTGCACAATAAACTAGCTGCTGTCTGCGGCAAACTCCCCTCCCCCCCCCGCCGAGTTATCTGTAGCAGTTGTCATCATAATAGTTACGTCACATCATAACCTGAGAAGTTTTATTCAACGTAATGAATTATAGATGTGTTCTGCCATGTGTATGTATATATATGTGTGTGTGTATGTATATATGTGTGTGTGTGTGTGTGTGATAGGCCTACGTTTGTGTTCATGTTTGTCTTTGGATCCTCCTCTTCGTCCCCCGGTCTTCCTCCTCATCCTCAGCGGCGTCACCTTATGTGTACCCGGCTGTAGCTGTGTACGTACTAGCACCTACACAACGCCATGGTAGTCACGTTGCTCTCAGCCTGGCATGTGCTAACCCACACGAGGATGTTCAGGGTCTCACACACACACACACACAAGTACGCACACGTATGCACACGGATAGAGTAATAGTTGCGTAGGTAATAATAATAATAATAATAATTATAATAATAATAATAATAATAATAATAATAATAATAATAATAATAATAATAATAAATGAAGACCCCAGGATCCCGTGACGTCATCAGCCCACTAGCCAGTTATGAAGGCGTTGAGTAGTGACGTCACGGTGGTCATGGCTAATATTGTCCAGTAGGCGGGCGGGGATGTGTCATGATGGTGAGGCGGTGACGTTTGCATGATCACAAGGCACATGACCGAGCAAGCATGCATTCAAACGGACGTGCATACACAGGCACATGCATATATCTCACACACACACACACACACACACGTCTTGAGGTCTGATTGACGTAAATAGGCTTTTATGAAATCCTCCTATAGCTTGGTGAAGAGATAAACAAAGGCTTGGGTTGTTTTTCCGGTGTTTTTTTTCTGCAGGTGCGTTGTTTTGAGGTACTTTTCTATGTGTGTGTGTCAATGCTTTTTTGTGTGTATTTTGCCTGTGTTTTTTAGTTGTTTTCTGTTTTTTCTGTTTCTTTCTGTGTGTATTTCTGTGTTTTTCTGTTTTTTTCTGTTTTTTGTTTTTCTGTGTCTCTGTGTGTTTTTTCTGTGTTTCTTTCTGTTTTCTCTGTGAGTGTTTCTTTGTGTGTGTTTTCTTTGTTTTTTTCTGTGTTTTTTGTGTTTTTTCAGTGTTTTTCTGTGTTTTTTTCTGTGCTTTTTCTGTGTGTCTTTCTGTGTGTTTCTTTCTGTTTTTTTCTATTTATCTTTCTGTTTTTTTCTGTTTTTTCTGTGTTTCTGTGTTTTTTCTGAGTGTTTTTCTGTCTGTGTCTGTGTTTTTTGTTTTTTCTGTGTTTTCTGTATATTTTCTGTATTTATGTGTTTTTTCTGTGTGTGTGTGTATCTTTCTGTGTGTTTTTTCTGTGTTTTTCTGTGTGTGTCTTTCTGTGTTTTTTGTGTGTGTGTGTTTTTTCTTGTTTTTCTACGATAGTGACGAAGGAAGGACAGTGATTAAGACGAGTACATATGTGAACAAAAGAGAAGGAGAACAGGTGAAAAGATAACAGTAAAGAAGAGATAACTAGAGAAATACAAGAATTAATAAGAGAAGGTGATGAGAAACAGGTGAATAGAGAAGGAAGAAGAGAAGAGATGATACACCTTCCATCAGTCGAATTTTCGCCATCATTTTCACCACCATTTTCACCATCACTTTCACCATCACTTTCACCACCATTTTCACCATCACTTTCACCACCACTTTCACCACCACTTTCACCATCACTTTCACCACCACTTTCACCACCACTTTCACCATCACTTTCACCATCACTTTCACCATCACTTTCACCATCACTTTCACCATCACTTTCACCATCATTTTCACCATCACTTTCACCATCACTTTCACCATCACTTTCACCATCACTTTCACCACCATTTTCACCATCACTTTCACCACTAGGCCTTGTTGACGCCAAGTATGACGTCACCATCAGATATGAACTCCTGTAGGCTTGTGTTGACGTTGTACAAAACTGGTGCCATTAGTCCACACAGCTGCTGATATGAGATAAAAACAAGGATGATGGTGGTGATAACGAGGTACAGCAGATACGGGACGAGGAATGCGTATTGTGTGTGTGTGTGTGTGTGTGTGTGTTGCGTAATAGCGTAAGTGGGTAGTGTAGTCGATTAATCTCTAGTTTATGACGCATTAATATTAATTTATTCTAACTCTAAACCTAACCTAACCTAACCTAACCTAACCTAACCTAACCTAACCTATTTTATCCTTAACTTAACTAGAGTATTTGTGTATTTTTCTATGTACGTGTGTGTGTGTCTACGTATGGGTAGGTGTATGTTTGTGTGTGTTTACGTATGTGTGTGTATGTATGTATGTTGGTGGGTTGTCGAAGAAATGTGTACCTCAATAGGGCTTCTCTCTCTCTCTCTTTCTCTCCAATACACACACACACACACACACACACACACACACACACACACACACACACACACACACACACACACGAGACACAGGACCAACGCGAAGACACTAAACAAAGTAGATTACGTCAAGGGAGAGTTAATTTCAGTGTTGGGGCCAGGCCAGGTGTTGATCCTCACCCAGACATAAACGTGTTAGAGCGGCGTTAACACAGCATTAAGGTTGTTGGTTGGGGGAGACTTCTAAAAACCCTGTGTGTGTGTGTGTGTGTGTGTGTGTGTGTGTGGACAATAACTCTCTCTTGACGGAGGAAAGAGGAAGGGACAGGAAACAGATATTAAGGAGGTAATTAAATAGACAGAGAGACAAACAAACAGACAGACAGACAGACAGACAGACAGACAAGACGCCCCAATGTGTTGTATACAGGCAAAAAAAAAATCCCCACCGTAATAGGTAAGAGTCCACACGCTGTTGTAGGTAAGGCCCAGCACCTGTGTTACCTGAGTTACACCTTCACCTAGATGGCTGTAAGGTAGAGGGGGGAGCGGTGACTAAGGTGGAAGATTATGGAAGTGTGTGTGTGGGGGGGAGGGGATTCACTTTCAAACGCTGATATAGGTTAATGGTGATGATGATGATGAGTTGTGATGATAATGAGGCAACATATTTTCATTCATCAATAGACTGATAAAAGACCGGTTAATAATAATATACAATGATGATAAGCTAAAAAAAAAACAAGTTAAATCCACACACAAAAACAAACAAAAAAACAAATGGAG